CCCCCCATTTGTTCAAAAGTCCCTGGCGCCGGCGGGTCTTTTTGAACGCTCCAGGGCGTTCCCTGCGCCTCGAGGGTCCTCCTTGGCGCCTGCAGCGAACGCCCAGAGGCAGCCAGGACGGCCCAAGAGCGCACCAAACCGCAGAAGGTGGCCCCGCGATGGCCCAAAAGGCCCCCAAGAGGCCCCAAGGGCGCTCCGAGAGGACCTCCAAGAAGGCCCCGAGAGCCCATAGTCATTAATATTCGATTTATGTTCCCATGTTTTGCCCCACGTGCTTAGTTTTTTTTTTGTTTCTTCGCAGCGGCGTGCCGATGCATGTTCAGAATCAGACGACGTAAGACACCTTACGTCAGCTGCCAAAAGGGCGAAATGCGAACACGTATCACAACACTGCGCAAATCCCACCAGCCCTTTAAGGCGTAGGGCGTAGGTCGCTTGCTCTGCGTAGAAAGTGCCTGGGATGCAGCGGCCAGCGCTATACATGAGCTGCTACGTTGGGCTGCAACTCGCTGGCTACTGCTGCGTGAAAGGCGCTGCTACCCAGGGCTGCAGCGCCAGGCAATTAAATACCCCGGCATTATTTATGGGGATACGCGAAGCGTCAACAATTTAGTACTTGCTCGTGCCATTGAAACTGTGCACGCGGACTCGCGGCCTTCACGCCGCGCTTGCGATGGCAAATGAACGCGTGTCAGGACTGGTGTTGCGAACGCTTTTGCTTAAGACCATCTTTTTCGCACACCCGGCATCGGGCGTGGCTACGTCTTTGTAGTCGTCCTCTCCCAGCAGGCCCCCGACGACGAAACCTGCTTGGCCCAGATGCTTCACGTAAAAGTTCAAGTACGGTACGTCATCTTGCGTTCGCCCATGGACAACTTTGACCGCGACTTTTCCACGAGTGGCAGGCGTGGCATCTTTCTCGATGCCACAAGGGGTGCGCTGGGAGTGCGGTCGCTGTCCGTTTCGGCCTCGCAAAGCGTGGCAGGCGTGACACTTCCTCGACGCCACAGGGGGTGCGCTGGGGATGCGGTCGTATCCGTTTCGGCCTCGCAAAGCGTGGCAGGCGTGGCACTTCCTCGACGCCACAAAGGGGTGCGCTGGGGGTGCGGTCGCTATCCGCTTCGGCATGGCAAAGCGTAGCAGGCGTGGCACTTGCTCGATGCCACAAAAGGTGCGCAATGGGTGCGGTCGCTATCCGCTTCGGCCTCGCAATGCGTGGCAGGCGTGGCGCTTCCTCGATGCCACAGGGGTGCGCTGGGGGTGCGGTCGCTATGAGTCTCGGGCTTGCATCGTCTGGCAAGCGTGGCACTTTCTCGACGCCACAGGGGATGCGCTGGGGGGGGCGGTCGGTATCCGCTTCGGCCTCGCAAATCATGGCAGGCGTGACACTTCCTCGACGCCGCAGGGGGTGCGCTGGGGGTGCGGTCGCTATCCGCTTCGGCCTCGCAAAGCGTGGCAGGCGTGGCACTCCCTCGACGCCACAGGGGGTGCGATGGGGGTGCGGTCGTTCTCTGTTTCGGCCTCGCAAATCGTGGCAGGCGTGACACTTCCTGAACGCCACAGGGGTGCGCTGGGGGTGCGGTCGCTATCCGTTTCGGCCTCGCAAGGCCTGGCAGGCGTGGCACTTCCTCGATGCGACAGGGGGTGCGCTGGGGGTGCGGTTGCTATCCGCTTCGGCCTCGCAATGCGTGGCAGGCGTGGCACTTTTGACGCCACAGGGGGTGCGCTGGGGGTGCGGTCGCTATCCGTTTTGGCCTTTGCAGCTCTCCTTTTGACTGGCGTCACCAACGGTATCGGCGGGGCAACGGCCACCAACATCATTCTCACATGCTTCACTTCAGCTATCATCACTCCAGCCATCATATAAGTATGTGGGGCTCCTCGGTCGCGTAATTCGCGTTCTCGTGTTTTCGGGTTCTCGGCACTCCAAGACTACCCAAGAAGCCTCCAACCTCGCCCCACAAGGCCCAAGAGACACCCGATACGGCCCAAGCGGGCCCCCAAACGGCCCAGGAGGCGCCCAAGCCGGCCCAAGAGGGTCTCAAGGCGGCCTCAAGAGGTGCAGGAGGTAGGGAACGCAACAGACAATCCGAGCCTTCCGCTCCAAGAGGCCCCCAGGAGGCTCCAAGAGGCCCAAAGGAGGCACTCAAGAGACCCACAACAGGCCCCAAGAGACTCCAAAACGCCCCCCGGGAAGCTTCAAAACTGCTTCCTAAAGGCCTCCGAGAGGCCTTGCACGATACCCAAGCGAAATTCCAAAAGGCCTAACCCACAACCCAGGAACGGTGGCGGCATGGGCCGAAGGCACCAAGAGGCACCACATCTTGATCCCCAATAGATGTTCAATGATGTTCGTGTTCTTGCCCTTTTGCGGTTTCAGTTCTCTACGACAGCCCAAGCGCCCCCCAAAACCTTTCACGACGGCCGCACAAGAGCGTTCCAGGAGAGCCCCAAGAGGGCACAAGGAGGCGGAACCCGAACTCAAAGAGCGAGCCCGCCCCCCGGCGACAGCCCCCGGGACCGCTGGCAGAGCCCCAACGGGCTTCCAAGAGGCCCGAGGAGC